TCAAACAGCTGCTAATCAATGGAGAAGAAGCCAAGCAACCACCCGAAGCAAGATTAAAGGGACCAGAGAAACTCATCGAGATCAGGAGACGACTGCTGGCCTTCCCTGGTGGTCCAGTGGTTGAGAATCCGCCTGCCAATGCAGGGGACGTGGGTTCGAGCCCTGGTCGGGGAACTAAGATCCCACACGCGGTGGGGCAACTACTGAGCTCCGCGCCTCAACTAGAGAGAAGACGGCGCACCGCCACGAGGATCCCGCATGCCGCAACTAACGCCCGAGGCAGCCAAAACTAAAATAAATTAAAACATGGGGAGACGACCACCTGAGATGAGATTAAGGGACGGCAGGCCCTGCTCGCCACACCCTAATCTTGTCAGAGAATCCCCCGCCCCTGCCCTTTGAACCGCTGCTATAAAGCCCTTCATCAAATCCTCTGGGGGGGGGGGCACACACAGTTTTTCGAGGCAGAACCGGTGTGTCCCCCTTTGCCTGGCAAAGCAATAAAGCTCTCCTTTTCTACTTCACCCAAAACTCTGTCTCCGAGATTTGATTCGGCACCGGTGCACAGAGAGGCCGAGCTTTCGGTCACAAACCCACCTGTCGGCCCACAGGGGAGACAGGGCTCCCGCACAAAGGCCCCCCGCCCTTCATTTTCTCACTGATTCTATTTATTTATCCCCTGAACAAGTGTTCGCTCACAAACCCGCTGCTGGCCTTTTAATTCCAGCAGAGACTCAGTCTCTCTCCCTCCGTCCGCACTGGGTGACTCAGCCGGTGACCTGCCCATTCCACTCAGAGTCTCGGGGGCAGCGCCCCCAGGAGAGATTTCAATCACACCTGTCACTCCACTAATGCCTGGACCATCTTTCTCCAGCTCCTTGCAGGCAGGCTCGAATCAAATAACCCCCTTTGTTCTGCCTGGAACTGACAAGGCTTTAAAACCCCATTATTATGCTATAATTTCAGAAAATTGATCCCGGCGGGAACAGCTAAATGGAGCTCAAAGTTTCTTCGTGTGACACCTTACTGAATGAAGGCTTTGCGTTGTCATAAATCCCGGGCAGGGGAGAGCTCAGCCAGAGCTCTCGGCTCCAGGACCAGCGGGTCAGCCTCTGGGCAAACCAGAGCCCACAGTGGAGCTGAAGCAACATGGAAACAGCGGCCAGAGGTGACTCCTGGGGCGGCAGAGCCCCGCTACTGTCAGTGTCAGGTTTGGGGTTGCTCTCTGTCACCATGCGAGCAGAAGCCTTCGCAGCTGGGGGACAGGAAAAGAAAGGACACAGTGGGATAAGAAACACCAGTGGGAAAATGATCCTTTAGAGGGTAATGAACAAGTAATTGAATAAGGGACTAAAAAAACCCCCTCAACAATGGCAAGCTCCTGCTAATAAGGCCTGACAGAGTAAAGTGTGAAAGAGCCCGGGGTCCATGGAGGGACTGAGGCTCCCTCCACCCTGGGGGCAGGGATGGATTGTCAACAGGCACCTCTCAGCCCAGCAGGCCCTTCCTGTTGCTTCTGTCTTGATTTATAACAAGCTCCTCTTTCCCTAACTGCTTCATGAGAGTGGTTTGGCTTTTTTGTTGTTGTTTTTTTCTCCCCCAAATGGGGGTGTGTAGACTGAACTTGCCCTTGACAGACAGGCACCTCTGTTGTCTCCTACGGTGGAAGTGGAGCTGGAGGATGTGGGGACACACAGATTTGCCCGTTTCGCTGCGTCTTGGATAGGGAAGGATGGGACCATCTGTTTTTCTCCCAAGGATGGGGCTGCTGGGAAGGGCTGGCCAACACCTTTGAGGCTGTGAAGTGGTACCCCTCTGCACACAGTAGGTGCTCAATAAAGAAGCATGATGTGACCAAGCTGGCTTCATTGAGGGGGTGCACAGAATTCAACCGACTCCCTGCCTCCTGGCGGGTTGAGTGGCATTGCTGCCTGTGTGCCCCTCACCGCCTGCTCATGGTGAATCTCTGCTCCCCCAGGAGGGCACAAAAGGGGGGTGGAGGATGTTTGGATGGAGAGGTGAAACCAGGGCACTAGCCTGGACCACGAAGGCCGATGGGCCAGGCACGGATCTATCATGTCTGCTACAAATCTGCTAGCTGTGTGATCTTGGGCAAGTCACTTAACCTCTCTGTGCTTCCCTGTCCACATCAGAATAACAGGGTTTCTCTCCAGGGTTGTTGTGGGGACCAGTGAGGTAGCCTGTGCAGAACTCTGTGCAGAGCTCTGGAGGGGGAAAGGGAGCCTGTTTGTTTGGAGGGAGCTGGGGAAAGTATTCCAGGTGAGAGAATGAATTTAAGGTAAGCCTGCCAGGAATAAGCACACACGTGAGCTAGACCTGATTAGTAACAGAGGGAGTAAAGCCCAGGGGTCAAGTATTTGGGGCTGGGGAGCCAGAACGCTGGGGTTCAAGTCTTGCCTCTGCCTCTTGTTAGCTGGTGTAACCCTGGGAAAGTTGCCTCAATTTTTTCATCTGCTAAATGGGGTAGTAAAGCCTGTTTCCCTCCTATAGTTACTGGGAGAATTAATGAGTCGCTCACATAAGATGCTCAGGACAGTGCCTGGCACACACTAGGAACCAGCCAACCAAAGCTAGCGTTCTTTTCTGAAGGAGATGAAGTGACATAATTCACAGAGGCCCCCAGGCACAAGGTGACAGGTTAGATCTGAGCTCCAGCCTCCAAGGGTCTAGGCTGTTTTCACGTTTTCAAGAAGCAAGGGCTCACTGATCCGAGGCAACAGCTAGCACGACATGACAACTAGCACCAGGTACAGCCCTAAGACATCACAAGACGTGACTCATTCGACATTCCCGACCACCGTCTGCATTTTACAAACGGGGAACCCAGGGCCCAGAGAGTTGAAGCAACTTTCCTGAAGTTGCACAGCTGGCAGGTGACAGAGCTGAGAGCTGGACCTGAGTCTGGCCCAGGGACTGGCACTATTACCTGCTGACTAGCCATCCTGGCTCGCAGCCAACGCGGCTGGGTATTGAAGTGGACCAAACCGTCAGGCCGGCAGCTGTGCAGCTGGGCTCCACCGTGGGCGTGAATGCTGCCGGGTGAGCCTCCCCTGCTCGGAGCGGGGGAACCGGGAGGCTGGGTGCCCAGCCAGGAGGTGTTCCAGCCTCAGCTTGGAGCTTCCTGGGCCCCGATCAGAGAGGAAGGAAGGGAGCCAACCAGAGATCTTGAGGAAGGCCAGGGAGGCTGGCAGGGAGAGCAGAGGGTGGTGGGAGGCAGGGGGGTGGTTCTGATAGACGCAGGGTCCAAAGAGACAGGGGTGGGCGGAGGAGGCGGAACAGGCTCAGGGCAGCGTGGGCTCCAGTCCTGGCCCTGCCAGTGGAGACCCACTTTCCTCATCTGTGAAATGGGGACAGTTTCTCAGCTGTGGGATAAGGTGGGATGAAGCGCAAGTAGCATCCAGCCCAATGTCAGACACATACACATCAGCTCAGTGAAGATGGCCATTGAGCCTAAATTTATAGTCAGGCTGATCCCAGAATTGATCATCCGAGCTAGAGTGTGGTGCGGGGAATCTTCTCATAAGCCACCATGAACCACACACAGACATCGCCTCCCCATGCTCTGTGGTAGCCCCGGCAAGGACTCCTCCAACCTCAGCTTGAATGCCTCCTGAAACAGGGTGCTCACCACCTGCCGGGCCAGCCCAGCCCAGCACTCACTGCTGGAAATCTCTCCCTTACGCTGAGCTGGTGACCTGTGACTCTCATTCTCAGCCTTGTTAGGAGGGCCATCACGTGCCCATCCCCAGGGTCCTCCTGTTCCCACCCCCACTTGCTCCCTGCACCCGCACCACAGGGCCTTTGCACATGCTGCGCCCTCCTGAATCTTGGACTAAGTCAGTGGATGCAGTGGTTTTCCCTCCCATGGTTTCCCCTGTGCCCAGCACAGGCACTTAGTAAATACTGGTTGGTACGCATGCTACACGCAAGGCACATCACCTTACTCAGTCTCAAACCCCCGCCGTGTGTCAGGCAGCCCTGCCTGTGGTTTGTGGTCACAAGGGCAGGACCGTTTACTGAGAGTCAGCCATGTACGTGCTAAGCATTGGCTGAGATTTTGTGCCCGCTGTCTCTGATCCTTATCACACCCTCAATTTACAGGCGAGGAAGCTGAGGGTTGAGTTATGTGGGGAAGGGCAGAGCTGACTTCCCTCCCCCAGGGTTCCTGTGTGCAGCTCCATCTCCTACTAGCTGGGAGCCCCTGAGGGCAAAGACTGGGGCTCTGGTGCCCAGGGGACGGCTCTGCACGCGGTTGCCCGAATCCTGAATGCCCTGCTGGCAAAGGCTGTGTCACGGGGCCACAGAAGAGGAAACAGGCTTATCTTCTGCTAATCCAGAAACGTCTGCGGAAACGCATCCAGCCACCACTTACCCACCTCCCATGCCCCCCAAGCCTGAGATGGGTACCAGGTAGGACCTGGATTCAGGAAGAATACTGGAGGAGGAGCCGTCTGCCCTGGACTCCAGGTAGCAGTGGAGTCCAGCAGTTAAGGGCACAGGCTCTGGAATCGTACGTTCACTCCTCACCTTGGCCGCTCAGGAGCTGGGTGATCCTGGGCCAGTCACATCAACTCTCCCTGGGCCTTGGCTTCCTTACTTGTAAAATGGGCATGTGACACCTGCAGGGGTGCTGGGGGATAATGAGAGCTGTGCCCCAGGGCCTGGGCCTGGTCGGGAGGAAGGCAGAACCCTCGGCACTCCTTGTTCTAAAGCAGCAACAAATCCCGGCCCCAGGAAAGAGGTCCCGGTTCCGGGAGCAAAGCACCTTCCTAGGCTTTTCATGCCGGGTCAGATGCATCTGTGGGTCGTGACCCAGTACAGACCCCAGTAACCTGCAGACAGAACGGGGGATTCTTTCTGCTGACCGTTCCTCCTGTGTGCATTCCTGGCAAACGGTCCTGAGGGTAGCCTCAAGGAGAGGGAGGGAATGTCGGGACCCACCCTCTGACCCACAGATGGGGTGGCGGCGCTCGTCTTACCCCAGAGGGCCATGAAGATGGAGAAGAACACAGTGGCGGGGTTGTCGAAGAGGTGGCTGGCGCGGGCCGTGGCGCACGCAGAGCTCATCTTCCAGTAGCTGCAGGTCTTGTCACACAGCGGGCACATGGTGATGTTGTGTCTCTGGTCACACATCTCCATGCTGGAAGAAAGGGAGCAGCCCAGAGTCCCCTGGCCGATGGGCAGCGTCCCTGCCGGCCCACGTGGACTGGAGCCTCCCGGAGCCATGTCGGGTGGGAGAAAGTGCTGGGGGTCCCCGCCGTTGTGGACATGGTCTGGCTCATCAGCCAGCTTCCGCCGGCGCCCACATCCCTCTTCTCCATCCCAGGTGGGCTTCAGGGATGTGTGACAGGTGCTGCCACACAGGGGCCCCAGCTCGGTTTCACACTCTGTCCCCCCTTAAAGCCTTAATGATTTTTGAACAGGGCCCTGCATTTTAATTTTGTACCCAGCCTGCAACTGGGCGTAGACCCATCGGACTTGGCTGTGTGGCCGGTGAGCGTTCATCTCTGAAGCCGAGGTCCCAGCCAGCCTCCCTCTGATAACCAGGCACCGTCAAGGTTGTGCTAAGAGTGAATGCTGTCCAGGTCCTGACTTGACAAGGCCCCGGAGACCCGAAGGAGGAATGGGATCGAGGCACGAGAACGCCACGCCTCTCCTGAGCCCTGGCCGTGAGCCTGGCACCTGCTAAGCGCCGTTCCTGCGGGCTTCAGTCCATCCCTGTGGGGACGCCGTGGGACAGCTGGCCCCGGGCAGGCCTGGGTACCAGCCTGTGGACATCGCTGGGCACTCTGGGCCCCTAAGAGGATGGAGGAATGGTTCTCCTGGACCTCCTCCCGGGAGACGGGTGGTTGGGTTGGAAGGAACACACCCACAAGCTGCCTGGGGTTGGGGACCCACCACGCCGGGCTCACCCCGAAAGTTAGGGGCAGCTCCTGCTCAGGATACTAGTCCGGCTCAGGGCAGGCTTTTATTCTGCTGAGTCTGGGGCTCGAGCCCAGGGGGCGTGGCTGGACAGGATGGGGAGCTGCGCGATGCCCAGTGGCCTGCCTCGTCCGCCCTGCCCAGCACGCAGGCTGTCTCCTGCTAATGCTGAAAAATGCAATAACGGCCATTAGCTGTGTGAGCAGAAGCTTGCGCCGAGCGTCCACCTGGCCTGGACCAGCTCTGGGGCCATTACAATCCCATCTTCATAGATGAGGAAGTGAGCCCAGAGAGGGCAAGTCACTTGCTCAGGGCCACACAGCAGAGTGGGGATTGAGGCCTGGGCTCTGTCTGTCAAGCCCGTGCCCTGCACTGCTCTCAGCTGATGCCCAGAGGCCACAGGAGGGCTCCCTGCCGAGACCAGGGGGCGTGGCCCAGGTCCTTGATGCCCTCTGTGCCCCCGACCCTGTCCTTTAGCCTCAGACTCAGTTTCTCCTTCTGGAAGATGAGAAGGGAGGCCAGAATTAGGCCCTGCCAACTCTGCCCTGCCCTGCCCTGCCCTTCTCCCTGCTAACTTGGACAAGATACTGAGCTATTATTAGACACCGGGCAGGAGTCTGATTCCCAAGGGTTAGGTGGCTATCGAGGAGGGGGCCGAATTGGGTGGTTGTTTTTGGCTTTTAAAAAAAATTTCTGGATGCACAGAATCGTGGCTGGGCCACAGCCATTGGTGTTGGAGAAACATTTGCTGAGAGGCTGTGGGGGACCCTCCTCTGCTAGCACTGTGGGCATTCAGCTCAATTCTCTTTCACAGTTACTCCTACCAAAGACTCATTAAAAGATTGTGTACATGCTGTATGTGCCAGGCATGGTGTCAGGCGTGGGAGAGGGAAAGATGGACCAGTTGGTGCCATGAAGCATCTGGGGGAGTGCGTGTGTGAGCACGCGTGCGTGTGCCTATGTGCACGTGTATGTGGGGCAGGGAGAGGCACACAGAGGCCGTAGGGCACCGTGGACTCGGGAGCCAGCCAGCTCTGGATTTGAATCTGAGCGCTACCGCTTGTGAGCTCTGTGGCCTTGGGCAGGTTGCTCCAACTCCTTGGGCCTCACTTTCCCCATCTATAGAATGGGGATGCTGAGAATAGAGAACCCATTTTTTTTTTAAATTGTTGTTTTTTTTTTTTGGCTGCGCTGTGCAGCACATGGGATTTTAGTTCCCTGACCAGGGATTGAATCCATGCTCTCGGCAGTGAAGGAGCGCAGCCCTAACCACTGGAACACCAGGGAATTCCCTGAGAACCCGTGTTACTGGGTTGTTAGGAGGATTAAACAGGGGAACGCACGTGAAGCCCTCGTAAGGGCCCTGGGACTCATCCTCCCGTTCACCATCATTATTGTGGGAATAATGGAGCCTTGTCCCTCCCTGAGCTTCCTCTCTTCTGGGGGCCTCTCCTGAAAGGCAGAGGGGCAGGACATCGCACCCGTGCAGGACCCCAGCCCCTCTCAGGGAACCTGTGGATGGAAGGCCCCCTCCACCATTGCCACGGTGCCGCCTGGGTCCCCGAGGATGGGAGGGGCCGGGGGGGCCAGAGCCCATGTCTCTGCCTGCCTGCCATGGCTGCCCAGCCCTCCTCCCTGCCAGTTTAAACAATATCAACCAGTCAAAAAGCCTGTTTCTGCTGGTTTTAAACCCTTAGCCTCTCCCTTCACTGCCTTCAGCCAAAATAAAGACAAGCCATGGGTGGGCCTGCTCTTTGGGGCAAATAGAGGGGCAGGGGCGGCAGGGCAGCATCGTGCGGGGCGCAGGGGGTGCGGGGGCACTGGCTATCCTACAAACTGGCTTGGGCCACATTCCAGGGGGAATGCACACTTCCTGCTTTGTTCACGGCACCAAGTGAGCAGAGGCCGAGGTCAGACGGGGCTCCAGGATTCCCAGTAAATGCTGTTTGCATCCCTGGCTGTGTGACAGCGCTGGCCTGGCCTGGCCTGGCCTGGGGATGTCGGCGTCCTTGTCAGGGAGCCCGCGCCTGCCTGGGCAGAGCATCCTGGACGAGGCCACCAGCCCAGCTTCCCCTCCAGGACCGGCAGGAAGGCGGACGGAGAAGTCTCCGTGGGGGGCCCCTCACCCTCCACTCAGTCCCCTCTGTGTCTGGGCTACTTTGATCTCTGCGTTCCTCAAACCCAAGCACAGTGAGCTCGTGTCATTAACAAACAAAAGGGACAAGCTTTCTCCTGCCTGTGCCCAAAATAACCCTAGAGGGACATAAGCCGGATTCCTTTAACGTTCTGATTCCGGGTGGGTGGAATAGTTTAGGTGTTATTCATGTATTCACAAATCGTTTGCACAAAATGACTGGATGTGGCCTTTCTGCACCGCTGAGTCCTAAGGAGTCAGTTTCTCCACCAAGTAAAAGACTCCTTCACTGGCTCTTTTCTGATCAGAACCACGGATGGATTGTCTAAACCACAGCTCTGCTTCAGAGACACTGGGCTGAGCCGTAAGAAACGTAAACTGCGCTGATGTACCGGGACTGTCCCTGACAGACCGCCAGCCCCCAAGAGGCAGGGCCAGGGGCGTCCACTTTTCTATCCAGCGTTTTGCCCATCGGCACACTGCTCCTGATGGAAGTTAGGCCTGAAATCCTGAACTCATAACACAATCAGTTATCCCTGGGTCGGTATTAGCAAGTCTAGGAAACCACTAGAAAAGAGGGGAGACGGTGTCCTCAAGCTCCCGCTGCTTGACTCACGCTCTGGCTGCCATTCTGGGAGAACCACACCCGGCACGAGGCCGGGCTGTCTCTGGGGTCCTGGCCTCCTTCCAAGAGCCCCCCACGCCTGGCCTACCCCTTGGTGAACAGTAGCAGTGCTATCAGCCCTGCGTTCAGAGACCAGGGCCTGTTGCACCCGGTCAGCTCTCATGATGGTCCTATTGTTGCAACATCTCCCAAAGCCGCGTGGCCAGGGGACGCGGCACGGACACAGGGCCTGGCTGGCTGAGTGCGCTGCCCCGAGGTCTCCAAATGGTCACATCCGTCTCATTTCCTGACCACACAGGGAAGTGGTCAATTTTCTTGTCACATAATGACCAAGAACTAAATGGGAAAAAAAGCTTCAAAGAACGAAAAGGAGTTGGATATTTATTTTATGTCTTCCTCTCGACAATAAAGCGTCTCCGGGGGCGATCGTGTCTGCAAAGGCCGCCCACACGCTCAGATGGCTATTACATACTTTGGACTGGGCGGCTCTCTTTCTGACACCGCCTGGCCTGGCCTGTGACTGCCCGGGGGCACTAAGCGGGTGCACGGCGGGGCAGGGGTTGGGGTGAGGGGCCCGAGTCCCAGGGAGTTCTGTTCCTGCAGCAATAGGAACGTGGCTCCTTAGTAACATGAGGATGTGTTCGGAGAGAGGGGCTGCCTGCCTACCTGGGGATGTTCTCGTCGACGGTGGCCCATCCGTAGAGGAAAACGATGATCCCGACCACGGAGGCGGGGATGAGCATCTGGGTGTAGACGCCCAGCCAGGCGAAGTACAGGCCAATCTTCTCCCCAAAATACTTCCTGCACCGCAGGGCAAAGCCAAACAGAGACACACTCTGAATCCACATCAGGGGGAATAAATTACACTGTACCCCCTCCCCCCGAGCGAGGAACAGCTCATAGGGGGGCCCCTGATTCTCTCAACCAAAGAAGCAGAGACTGGGGGCCCCCGAGCCAGGTCAGGTTTGGGGTGCTCTCTGCTTTCCCTATGCCAGCACTTCTCTACTGTGCCCCGAAGGTGGGCACATTTCCGCTTGTGATGCCCACGCTGAAGGACACGATGTCGCCCGGAGGCTGTCAGCTCTCTTCTAGCCCTGTTCAGCCTAAGAACAGGAAAACACTCCAGCCCCGAGGCACCAAGAGAACCAATCACGCTGTACGTTACGCGTTTCTGGCTCCTTGATGGGCTGAGTGCTGGTCTACGTGGCCCCATTGCCTGATCTGTTCGCCCCTTCCTGCCCCGGGATGGAGGTCCCCTCAGGAGAGGACGCATTGCCCAGAGGGGCAATTCTTACAAATTCCCAGGCAGCTCTTCCCTTCCTTTCACCACAGAAAGAAATCACACCAGATGCCTGGCTGGGTCAAGCTGGACCGTGAATTTAGGGGGAGACAGTGAATATGACAGATAAGAGCCCGTCCCGAAGTGAATTTGAATAAACTGTTATCTAAGGCTCAGCCAGGCTCCCGTCCTGCAGGGAGACCTTGGCTTTCCTACACAAGCTCTTCAAGTTCGAACAGGCCCCCATGCACTGCCCACTCAGCACAGTCGAAATGCACAGGGACATCTATCCGATCAGGCCTGCTCCCAGCGTCCCCTCTCACCTGACCAGGTCGATGGGCTGGTACTTGTAGAAGACCCCGTAACTCGCCCACTCTTCGTACAGGAGCTGGGAGAGAGGAAGTGGTGAAGGGCTGGGGAAAATGTAGCGCTCCCAGGTTACTCCCCAGAACACACAGCTGCTGGGCCCCCGCTGGACTGAGGTGTCTGCTCACAGCTACGTCATTCATTCATTCAACAAACACGTACAGAGGGTCAGCCCTGTGCTGGGTACCGTGGTGGACGCCGAGTTCTGAGCTGAGCACGGCAGACACAGCCCTGAGCCCTGGAGTTCCCGTTCTGGTCAGGGAGACGGACACGAGAAAACGGGTCAAAACTTTCAGCTCTGGTAAGGGCCTTGAAGAAGCCACGGGTGGTGGCGGGCTCTCCAAGGAGGAATAGGCTTATGTTTTTTTATTTTTATTTTTTTTTGCGGTACGCGGGCCTCTCACTGTTGTGGCCTCTCCCGTTGCGGAGCACAGGCTCCGGATGCGCAGGCTCAGCGGCCACGGCTCACGGGCCCAGCCGCTCCGCGGCATGTGGGATCTTCCCGGACCGGGGCACGAACCCGCGTCCCCTGCATCGGCAGGCGGACTCTCAACCACTGCGCCACCAGGGAAGCCCTAGACTTATGTTTTTAGGTGACAGCGGGGATGGGAAAGAAACTTCTGGCATCATTATAGAGTCCTCACTGCTCACGATTTGATCTGGAATTGATCTCAAATGGCTGTCAGACACCTCACTTTCTTTGTAAAAGACAGACCCACCAGGCTTTGCAGCAGAGAAATACCAGTGGTACGATTTTTAAAAGTCTCACGGGACGCAAAGAGAGCCCGACGTGCGTCTCCTGAGATGGGCTATCTGATTAACACAGGTTAGTGAGGTCAATGAGCTCTACACACCCCATCACGCCCCAGGCTCCGGGCAGGACGGCAGTGAGCTTGGCGATTGGAAGCCTTGTATGAACGCGTGGGTATGGGGTGTCCTCGGGAAGACGCTGGGTTAGGACTGCTGGTTTTAATAAAGAAATCCCATGCATGTGGGTAATTAATGCTTTACCAACCTTAACTCAAAGCCTACGGTGACACTGCTGGCTGGAGGGGAGCTGGGCCCCAGCTGGGAATCCAGGGCCTCGGCTGCCCATCTCTGCTGGCAGGAAGCAGGGGTGGGGGACGCCCGTGAGAACTCACCATGGGCCCCAGGTCTCTCCTGTACACCGAAGCTTGGCTTGCATCCTTTTTCCTTTTCTTAATATTTGGACTTATAAACTTGGGGGGTCTCCTATATACAGATTCTGCTGTGGCCCCCGAACACAGCCTTTTATATCATCGCCCAAAATACTCTAGACTATGGACTGAATGTGTCCCCCCAGATTCACAGGTTGAAGCCTTAGCCCCCAACATGACTGTATTTGGAGGTTGCGTCTTTCCGGAAATAATTAAGGTTAAATGAGGTCATGAGAGCAGGGTTTTGACCTGACAGGACTGGTGTCCTTATAAGAAGAGGAAGAGACACCAGAGCTTTCTTTTTTCACGTGCACACACGGAGGAAAGGCCGTGTGAGGACACAGTGAGAAGACGGCTGTCCGCAAGCCAGGAAGAGAGCCTGCACCAGAACCCAACCCTGCCGGCACCTTGATCTGGGACTTCCAGCCTCCAGAACTGTGAGACATAAATGTCTTCTGTTTAAGTCTGGTATTTTGTCATAGCAGCCTGAGCTAATATTACATTCTCCCCACTGACTTGGAAGATCCAGAGCTGATGGGATGGATTTCTATGCACAAAGATGCCTTCAACTGAGTCTCTGAAAATTAAAAATGTCTAAGAGGCTCACGGGGACGGGGCCAGCTTCCACAGACCAGAGAGTCAGGGGTCCCTAGAAATGACCTTCTAGCAAACTTTTCCATTTCCTCTCTCCTTCTGCAGCTCTGAAAATAATACCCAGGAGAACAGAGTTGCTGTGTTTCATCAAAAGTCAGCACACAGGGACAAAATAAGTAGGGAGGAAAAAACAGGGAGGAAAATAACATAGAAAAGCTAAAGCCATTCTTAATAAATTATAAGCGAACCTTGCTGTCAAAATCCTGGGTTTTGCCTGCTCTGATCTTTATAAGAGTAGCTTTCTTTAGATTTTAAGTCTCTCTGTAAGTGGCACAAGCAGGATGGGCTCAGCATGATTCCAAGTTCTGAAAGACTTAATGGCAAGTCTGGCTGCTGGTGGGGTAGCCTCTGTAGCTTCTGGGTAAGGAACTGGGATGCCCAGGGCCTCCCCCCATCTCAGAGGAGAAGGGGTCCAGGAATTGGAGCCGTGCTGCCCTGCTAGGACGGTGGCTCTGCTGGGTCTGGAGTCGGTGTCCTGGGCAGCGTCCCGAGTGGGTGATCTGAGCCAGGCCTTCCCCCTCTGAGCCCCACTGGGCATCCAGGGCAGACTCCCTCCCCTCTGAGCTCCATCACCTCCTTGATACTGAAAGAGTCTGTCCTTCCTCCCAGGTCATGGAGTGGACGCAGATGGGCTCATGCTTTGTGAAGCGAAGTGCTGGGGGCTTGTTATGTGCCATCTGTCTGATTACGCAGAAAAGGAGGAAAAGCCTACAGTTTTACTCTCTAAAGGAGAGGGCTGAGCCAGCAAACTCTGATGAGATCATGCAGCACCTCTGGAAAAGCAAAGCAGCCGTCACCAGTCACCAACCGGGCAGCTTCCTCCCTTCAGCTGAATGGATAAAGAAGATGTGGCACATATATACAATGGAATATTACTCAGCCATGAAAAGAAACGAAATTGAGCTATTTGTAATGAGGTGGATAGACCTAGAGTCTGTCATACAGAGTGAAGTAAGTCAGAAAGAGAAAGACAAATACCATATGCTAACACATATATATGGAACTTAAGAAAAAAAATGTCTTGAAGAACCTAGGGGTAAGACAGGAATAAAGACACAGACCTACTGGAGAACGGACTTGAGGACATGGGGAGGGGGAAGGGTGAGCTGTGACAGGGCGAGAGAGAGGCATGGACATATATACACTACCAAACGTAAGGTAGATAGCTACTGGGAAGCAGCCGCATGGCACAGGGAGATCAGCTCGGTGCTTTGTGACCGCCTGGAGGGGTGGGATGGGGAGGGTGGGAGGGAGGGAGATGCAGAGGGAAGAGATAGGGGGACATATGTATATGTTTAACTGATTCACTTTGTTATAGAGCAGAAACTAACACACCATTGTAAAGCAATTGTACTCCAATAAAGATGTAAAAAAAAAAAAAGAAAGAAAGAAAGCTGAAATTTACACCATAGACCAGCTGGGGGAGCATCAGAGCAGCGAGATGGGAGGGAGGGAGGGAGTGGGGAGGAATGAGGGCAGAGACCCTGGGATGGAAAGGGAGGGAGTGGAGGTTGCTGCGGGGGAGGGGAGGCACGGGACGGACGCTCTGGAAGGCTTGTCCTCGTCATGCTGGTCACCCTGTTCCCGGGCCTCCCCGCTGGGACTGGCCACAGCAGGCAAGCCACCATCCCCTGAGAGGTGTGGCAGATGGGGGCACACTTCAGCTTTCTACATAAACCACTTTACCTCGGTGGACTTTTCTTCCTGCCAAGAAGAGAACGTCAATCACCCTGTAGCTGTCAGCGTAAGGAAATGAAGCATCAGATTTCCCGGCTATGGTTGGCAGAACTCTGGGGGCCCCTCAGTCTGTGAGCAGGTGGGAGGTGTCGGGGGCCCTGGGGCAGGTCAGCTGGGCACCGGTGGCTCTGGTCACTGTGACCCTGGGAGCCTTCCAGCACCTGGACCTCAGAGGGATCCTGGTTCCCTCCACCAGCATCTCCCCTGCCCAGACCTCCCACCTGGGCCCATGTGGCTGGGCAGGTCCATCACAGCACTGACGCTGTCCTTAATTACTGTGTATGTACTCAACCCTTGCTGTCTCCCCCTAGGATGGAGGCACCAGGTTTGTCTGGTCTGTGTCATCCCCAGCTTCTCAAACAGGGCAGATAACAGGTTTCCAGTAAGTAATTGTTGAATGAATGAATGAATGCTGGGCCAGGGCCCCGTGGCTCTCAGTGCAGTACAGGAATGAGGTCACCTCAATCCACACCTGGAGTAACCCTCCCGCCCCCCAATCCTGGAGGAAGGAGCGCTTGGCCCCAAGGCCCCGAGCGTTTGTGGCCCGAAGATCAGGCCAATAGCTATGGCCTTGCTCAGCCCTGGCCCAGGCCTGCCTCTGCTGAGATATCCCTACTGTACCCCTGCTCTGCCAGCTCAGCACAGGACCAGGGCCTTGGCTTGGCTACGTCCCCCCTTCTGTCCTCAGGCACTTGGGGCTCCTGACACTGACGGGATGCCACAGATTTTGTCATTGTGAAAGCAAAATACTCAGAACCAGATCACTTTAGATGCGGCGGCCATGGGAGAAAGAGTCCTCTGAGTTAGATACAAACACGTATACAAACACGTTAGATACAAACACGTATCTGGGGCATTTCCCCTTCCCCCCTTCCTTCTCTCCTTCCTTCCATCCACCCACCACTACTCATCCATCCATCCCTCCCTCCCTCCATCCATCCATCCATCCACCCGTCCATCTATCTGTCAGTCCATCTGTCCACCCATCCACCCACCCATCCGTCCATCCACTCATCCAATACTCCCTGATCATGGACCAGTCTTTGTATTCATGGCTGGGACATAACGTTAAGTGAGGAGACGGGGGGTGGAAAGTGGGCCGCATTCCAGGCAGAGAGCTTTTGGGTCTGGATAAACCTGGAGCTGTCTGCTGGGCCGGTACACTATAGTGGCCAGTAAATAGTTCCTGAGTAATGACTGAAGGAGACAGTCTTGGCACTGACGCGACCATCAGCCAAGTTGTCTTTAGATTAGAAAGGCGGCAGTGCGGCTGCAGCATGGGGAAGAGGGTGGGAGATTAGGGCGGAGGGGCCTGGGACCTGGAGGCTGAACGGCCAGAAGAGGGTCTCTGTGGAGGAAGTGCACCAGGCAGTGGCAGAGGGCTGCAGAGGGACGAAGGGGGCTGGGCTCTGAGGCCAGGCTTGGTGCAGGGCAGGCCCGTGGACGGGATGGAGGAGATCTGCAAGTCACGGGCTCTCAGACGAATGCCAGATGTTACACTAAAAATAACCAAATATGTAATTTTTGTGCTAAATCAGATAGCATCTTCAGCTGGATTCCCGGGCGGGCGGGCAGGCGAGTTGTATCAAGTACCGGAGGCTTAAAAACACATATGGGGGGCTGGAGGGAGGTGGGAACAGAGCATTCCACACGCAGAGTCTCCTGGGCCTTGCAATTTGGGACAAGGCCTCCATTGTGAGGTTCTCAGGGAAACATCCCTACCCAGCACCTTGGAAGGATCCGTTCTTGGGGAGCAAGAGATGGGACAAAGGGGGCTGAAAGGAACGCAGAGCCCAGGGAGGGCTGCTCCCTGAGGTGAGGGAGGGCAGGGCTTGCTGGGGAGCTGGGATAGGCTCATGTGGAGGCAGGGAGGCTGGGATCCGGGTGTGGGCACGCAAGGGAAGGAGAACTGGCTGTGGTGGCGTGGATGTGGGGTGGGTGCAGGACCAGAGCTTCCTGAGAGCCTGGGTGGGTGGAATTAGGGAGAACCATTGAAGAATAAAGGATCACTAGGCATTTCCCAAAGTGTGTCTCATGGGACACCAGCTCCATAACTTTCCCATTAAAAAGGGTTCCAGGTCAAGTGAGTTTGAGAAACTGGCTTGACCACCATCCATCGTGTTCCCGTGTGCTGCTGGGGGCCGGTGCACTCCAGGCGCTGGCCCCGTGGCTCCCAGAGTTATTCTCCCGGAAGCCAGGCAGGATTAGGCCAAAGGTCGGCAAAGAGCCCTGGAGGTTCTGACCGATCTGGTGAGACATGGGTTTTAAGCTGCCCAGGTCAGTGCAGGAAGGAAGGGCAGGCGGGGGGCACGTCCCTTCCCTTCACATGCTCGGACAACCTGCCAAGGATGCTTTTGAGAATCAGAGAGGAAAACAGTCCAACGAGGTGAGTTCACCAACCTTCTCACTCAGATGTGGGGCTGCAGTGCCGTGACCACCGAGCCCCTGTTCCCCGCTGGCCCCCAGACCCCCAGACCCCAAGGAGCAGTCTCCCGGCTCTGTAGCACCTACCTTCCTGTCGTTGAACTCCACGTTCTCCCCTTCATAGTCTCCCTGTAAAGAGAGAAAGGTGTCTTACTGTCCTGTAACCTTTCCAGACATGCACTCCAGCTGCCCCCACTACGCAGGTGAGCTAGTCCCAGGACAGAACTTCACACAGTGCGGAAGGGAGCCCAGGCCCCCTCCTCCTAGGATAAAAAGTGTCCCGGGAAAGCCCGAAGCGCCTTCCCCTCTACACAGAGACGACGTCCAGGATGGGAATGCGGTCAGGTCCTTGGAACTGGCGACACAGAGGAAAGGGGGCTTCAGGGGCTGGAGGGATTGTCAACAGGGTGAACATGCATCCCACTCTGCCAGGAGGGTCCTGGCGTCTCATCCCAGGTCCCACTAGGGTGGTGCCCCCTTTCCTCTCAAGTGTCCCAGGAGGGACCATGAGTTAGATGATCCCAGTGCATACAGATCGGTGAGTCCAATGCTCCCATTCTACAGATGGGAACACCGAGGCTCAGAGGAGCAAACTGACATTCCTGGGAGAGACAGAAAAATCCGGTCAGACCTGGGACTTGGATCTAGGTCTCCAAATCCAATGGAAGAGAAGGAGTGTCTAAAGGTCGAAAGCTAGCCCAGTATTCCAATGGGTGACACTGATGACTAGAAGACTGGCCAACCGGTCCTGAGGACTGCCAGGCAGATAAAGCTCTGAGGGCTCTGGGAGGTCTGCCTGGTGCCCGCTCCTCTCACCAGCTCCTTCCGTGACCCCCCTTCCGGCCCCGCCAGCCCCCTCCAGGCGGGGAGAACTTGACCACCAGGTGGGCAACCGATTCCTGTGGTCTTTGAATGAAGATGCTCTGGGAGCAGTTTAACCAAATTCCCCCCCGGGTCTTCAGGGGCCCTCTCCACCCAACCCAACCTATCCCCTTCCCAGAGTTGTCCCTCTTGTCTAAGATGGGCCCACGATTCCAGCAGCACCTCATTTCTGTAGAGGTCAGCTAGCCGGTGACCTTGAAGGAGGCAGTTGCCAACCAGGAAGGAAGCCAAAAAGCCACCCAGCAGTGGCTGAAATGCCAAGTCCTTCTCCAGATTCGAATGCTAGTTATGGAGTAGGAGGCTCTTCCTCTATGTGCAGTCCCAACAGGCTGCTGTCTGGTTGGCAACGACCCCGGCCCCTGGCCTGGCAGATGCTCTTGTGGAATGAATGAATGAGTGAGTGAACGCAGCAAGCAAGGCCCTGGAGAGGGTGGGATGCTCTGGGCCACGCACTGAGATGCGACCCAGGAGAGCTCAGGGGTGAGAAGCAGATGGTGAGAAGCGTACACGCGCGGGAGGGGCCTGCTGCCTGCCAGAGGCCGAGGTGCAGCCTCGCAACAGCCGGCATCCTCTGTTTAAGGCATGGGGTCCACAGGGCTAGCTTCAGAGGATTTATCTCCCCAAATATTTGAACATCAGCTCTGGTACTTAACGGGGTGTGTGTCCATCAGCTGTACGGAAAATTCATGGATGTAAAATCTCATATTCCCTCGAGATGACCGAGATCCATCATCCCGCTGGAAAGAACCCTGGAAGCAGAGCCAGAGGATCTGGGCTCCACTCCTTGGCTGTGTGCGTGTGGGCAAGTTGCTTGAGCAGTTGCAGCCTCAGTTTCCCCATCTGTAAAGTGGGAACAAACCCCACGTGGCAGGCTTCCCTACTGCTGTGTAAGGGACAAAGATGATGGTGCGCAAGGAGTTTCTAACATGAGGATCTTGGAGGTGCTTTTTGGGGGCTCAGTGGAAGTCTTGTACTCATCGGTTTAAACTGCTGCTAGAATTGATTCCTAAGACAAATGTGGCAGCGAAGCCTGAGAAGAGGGGTGCGTCGGCCTCCAGGGGAGGACGCAGTGGTGGTGCAGCCAGGGGTGGAGTAGCCTGTTGTCAGCCAGGGCTGGCTTCTGGCCCCAGCTCCTCCACAGGGGCTGTGTGAACTTGGGCGAGTCACTAAAGCTCTCTGAGCCTCCGTGTTTGCACCAGATTGAATGAGATAAAGCTCCTACTAGACACAGTTCTTCGCATACAGTAGGCGCTCAGAAATGTCGATCTTTCCCCTTTCCCTTTCAAGACTTAAAGGGCTGAATCAAACAGGCAGGGAGGCCCTGAAACGTTTCGGCTTCTGTCCCTGACATCTTGGCAGGAGTGACAGCTCAAAGGCCAAGTAGGGCTGAGCAAACCTGAGTGGCACAGATGGGACGGATGAGCGAGGCGCCTTCTAGGGAGAAGCCGGAAGCGCCAGCCGGGACCTGCGGGGTCTGAGTCCTCCCTCGAAGCATTCATCCCGCAACAGGTCAACCACCAAGACACCTCGACTTAACCCCACGCTGAATTTATTGAGCGCCTACTAGGTGCAGGGGCTTCCATGAGATGCACGCGTAATGAATGGCGGCCAAACAGTGTTGTCTTTGTGGGACAGGGAGCTTGGAGGTCCAGAGGGGAAGACTCAACCGTGCCGGGGAGGCGGGGAAAGGAAGGCTCCATGGGGATGCTTTGTTTGCCCTGGGGAGGGGTTGTGCAGGCAGAGGAGGAGGGAAGAGCACTGCAGACAGAAGGAACAGCATGAACGGAGGCACAGAGGTGGGAAAACGGGATCAGTTGAGCCCAAATCCTTACAGTGAGTGACGGGGGACAGCGGCAGTTCGGCTGAGCATCTTTCCCTCTGAGTCTATGGTCCGGGTGGACAGCCCTTTGCTGTCCGGCCCCACCCCCCGTTCATCCAACGTCTTACTGAAAGCCCTTCTGTTTCTGAATTCCTGCTAACACCCTCTGCAGCCCTGGCAACTGGACAGGGCAGGTATTATTTCTGACTTGCAGATGGGGGCACTGGGGCTCAGAGAGGACAGGGGCTGCCTCTACTCAAGGTCACAGAGGCGTGAGCAGCCAGGACTAGAATCTGGGTCCCCGGGCCCCCATGCCTGTCCTCTCTCTCTCCTAGCCTTTGCAGTAACGCACATTTGGAAAGTTCCAGAGATCCTCTGTCCGGAGTTCCCACACTGCTCAGGCCCCATGGCCCATCCCCAGTGCCCTGTTGAACTCTAGTCCTTGTTTCCATAGAGACAATAAGAAGAGAATCTTCTCTCTCTCTATCCCAAGCCAAGACAACGCGGCCGTGGCCACAGGCTATATTTGTCAGGGGGATACCAGTGGGATTTGGAGATTCGGCTCAGGAAACTGGCCACTTGCTCTGCAGAAATAGATACAAAACAGAGCTCTCTGGTCATTCTGCCAGAGCCCGGGCGGGGTGGGGTAGGGGAGACAGAGCCAGGGAAACTTCTTGTGGACCAGCTGGCCGTGAAGTTCAGATATGGCCGTGCAGAGTTTCTACCACAAGTGCCCCTGTCTTGGTGGAATGATTCAGTAAGAATAGATGGCTCTGTGTGTAACTCTGGTGCCCACCTGGGGAACCAGGAAAGGCCGGGAGCGGCTGACATTTACAGGAGCACCAAAGCAGGAAGCCCCGACCACAGGCTAACGAGAGCTCCCTGGGGGGTGTGGCCCTCGGGGTTTGGAGAATCAAATGATGCGCAGAGATGAACTATGTTTGTCAAGGTTACTTACATCGTGCAGTGGGTAGGCTGCCGAGTAAACGCCATTGGCCAGCAGGCTCGTGATGCCTTGAAAACAAAGGCAGAGAGAGGATTACGGACCAGGCCGGTCTCCAACGGCTCCGTGTTCAATCAGAGCGGTCCCAGGGCTGTCTCAATCACCGAGAATTTTCTCAAAGCGAGCCACACCTGCTTGCACAGAGCCCGACCACCTTTCTGGGGTTTCCTCCCCGGGTTCGACTAGGAGATGATAAAGACATGCTCTATTGGCAGAATTAGGAAGACACAGAGGAAACCCCAAGAGGAAGTTACATCTGGGAGGAAGGAGGTACCCCCAAACCTGCGATTCACCAGCTACCCCCGCCTGCTGGAGGGCAAACCTGCAGGTGAGGAAGGGGGATTGTAAGTGGTTAGAAAAGCTGAATCATGAGAAAAATATGGATGGAAAAATTGATGGTGTCATAAAACACACATACAATTTGGAATTAGATTTTAGGTTGATTGGAAAAGCCAAAGAGGAGGCCTGCGTGCCCCACGCAGGGGCAGAGGCACTTACCGTATTTACCACATTTTCGCCTTTTACTTAAAAGGGCAGAGTCCTTCTTTCTTCCCTCTCCTTGCCCTGTTTATACATCCGGCTATTAGTTACACGCAAAAGGGCCTGAAAGGATCAAAGCTGCACTTGGGGGGCAAGGCGCTCACTCACAGTCCAGCACCCCTGGGGGCAGGGGAACGATGGCCGGGCCCCTTGTTTGCTGCCTGAAGCCCCGCGCTGGGAGCAGGATAAAAATAACCACACCTGCGCCTCCTAGAATTCAGAGGTGTGGGCTCGGGCACCCAGCCCCAGAAGACAGCGTCGTGAGGGGGTAAGGCAGAGCCCGGCCACGCATGGGTCTGGGGCTTCCCAGAGATCTGATCTTGCTTCGCACACATCCTTGGGGGCCAGGGCGGCCCAGGAGTTTCCACGAAGCCCTTTGCTGGTCACAGAACCCTCTGCCTGGATGAAGAGGCTTTCTAGGTGGTAAGGGGTCAGATTTTTCAGTGGCCTGGCCAGTCCACTCTTGAGCTGTGACACTGGTGGGAAAGGCACTCCCTGAAATCCACTTAAAAATAGACCACCTCCTCAGCTAGTGATCTGGAATGGTCAGGGCACCTAGGGACGCTTAGAAATCCAAACCGGAGCCAGGTGGGAGCTCGTGGCCAAAGCCCCATGAGTGGAAAGTTCAGCTGCAGTAAAAAATGAACAAGGGGCCGGATTCAGGTTCACTGGGCCCCCCACTGCCCCTAGAATGCTCTCAACTCCGTGCTGCCGCAGGTGCGCCCTCTATCCGGAAGCCTCACCCCTCCAATGTCATCTCATCAGAAGGACCTCTGATCACTGGCTCTACATCCCCCATCGCTCCCCATCTCCCTCAGCCTGCAAGATTGTCTTCTGGTTTACGTTGTCATCACTCGTCTGTTTCCATCCTCCGGAATGGAAACTCCCTGAGGGTAGGGACCTTCCTGGCACAGAGGCTGGTGGGGGACCGAACCCATCCATGAATCTGGAGGTCAGGAGGGCTCTCAGACAAGGCCAGTGTGAAATGGGGTGCAGAGAAGGCCCCTCCATCTCTCTGCTTCATCACTGGCTCTGGGAACCAGCGCTGCCAGGGAACTGGCCACAGCATGGCCCGGGGCGGGGATCAGCTCTAGCTGAGAAGCGCCAGACCCTGGACTCTCTGCAAACCTTCACAGCAACCGCACGAGTCTCCACCAGAAGGGACCCTACAGGGACGCTAAAGGGAGACTGACTTCTGAGATGCATCGCTGGGACTAGACCCATGCTTCTCCCCACTTCTGGTGGCTGGGGCCCCCCTGGAGGACCTGCTCCATCGGGGACAGTTTTCCTGGCCTCCTCTCGACTCCTGAAAGTGTGTCCCCCGCCACGACTTAGTACACGGGCTTAGAAATTTCAGGCCCAGAGGGTGGGCCCGTGACTGACCACTGGCCACCCTGGGCAGCCTGGCTGAGCATGGAGGTGTCGTTCCCCCCTCCACCCCCCGCTGCATCCTGGGCCTGCCCCAGACTTCAGCTGCGAGCATCTGAGTCCTCCTGTACTTCGCTTCCTTCCCTCCCGGGAAGCCAACAGGCAGGGCATCTCTCCTGAACCACAGGCTCGGAGCTTCAGATGCTTCCAGAGCATGAAGGATTGTGCCGTGAGCTCCGCTCTCAGCGGGGCATAAAGCGGCTCAACAGGAAGGGGGGAAAGACCGGGAAAAGGCATCACTTTGCCCTGAAACGTTTTGCAAACGTTTAGCAAACTCAGCCTGCGGCGGTGGGCAAGGGACCTGCATGGCGGGGCGCGGGGTGGGGGGGATGGTTCCCTCCGCACGCTTTAATCGAGAAGGTTTTGCACCTGTGGTTGAGGTGTTCTGTAAACCAGTACCCGAGGAGCCCAGCGGGGCCAGTTTTGCGGCAGGTTCCGCCTAAGGGCACACGTCGAGGGGCACCCCTTCCAGCAAGGCCACGGCCCGGGTGGGGCACCTTCTAGACTGTGTGTGTGTCTGGCTGCTGCATCAGGCTGCTGCCCCGGCTGGAACCCTAACTACCTCCCCCTGGACTGTGAAGATCAAGAGAGGGTCAGAACCCCTTGGTCACCCTCCAGTTTCCAGCAGCCAGGATTTACCGCCTCTGCGTTGAGAGGCTCCACAGGCCACCACAGATGCCTCAAGCCAGAGAGGAGGATCCTTTTGTGCTTAAAAGGGTCGTAAAACCGCCCCTTGGTCCTGGAACGGCCCTCCTGCCTGAGACTGTTACACCAGCCTTAAATCAAAACCCTCTAAAAAACCCCAGGCCGGCCACCCGCCTCCCACGGAGAAGATGGAGAGGCAAGATTACACCGCGAGAGGAGCGCTGAGCTCAAGCCCCAAGCACGCCCTTACCCATGCTGTACTTGGCTTTGGTACACGTTGTTCTCTTCAGGATTTCGTAGACCTGTTGTGGAGACAAGGGGGGGACCAGAGCTACACCATCACGGGTCACCGGGAAGGGAGGTGGTGACCGTTACCGGCGCCAGCCTCCTGCGTGCCCCAAGGATGCGGTCAGGATTGGCGTTCTTGGGGACAAGGTCACCTCGAAGGGCCCACGCTGCGCTTGGGCTCAGGAGTACGGGGGTCCTGTGCACTCTGCTGGTGGGTTTCCGCCCCTTTTGGCTGAGAGGTGAGCTGGAATTCAGAGGCATGGGGACTCCGCTGATATGACCACTCTCGGGTGTGGCCCTGAATGTTCTAGAAACCTGTGCCCCTTTTACGAACAAAACACTTCGCCGCCTCAGGAACCCCGGCTTGGGGAGACCCCAAGCCTGGGTCTGCGTCCTTGTAGCCGTGTGGTCTTGCGCTAACTACCTCGTGCCCCGTGCCTCAGTTTCTCCACCCACAAAATGGGGTGAAAAGAAACGGCCCTGTGCCATAGACAGGTGGGTCAGGGCACTCTAGCCCCTCGAGACTCCCCCGAGGTTCCACCCTCCAGTTCCCCCCAGGCCCTGGGCCATCTGACCTTCTCTCCTCCTCTCCGTCCGCCCAGCCCTGTCCCAGCAACCTGGCCTCCTGGCTGCCCCCCTCACTCGCCAACCCTCTCCTGAGGCCACAGGGCCTTCACCATGGCTGTTTCTTTGGCCAGAAGTGCTTCTCCCCTGAGAGCTAAATGGCTACAGAGCCACCTTAACAAACAGGTCACCGAGCAGCCACCGCCCCTGTTGCTCTGCCTTCTAACTTTGCTCTCTCTCTCTCTCTCTCCTTTTTTTTTTTTTTGCCGCCCCACTCGGCTTCAAGGATCTCAGTTCCCTGACCAGGGATGAACATGGGCCCTGGCGGTGAAAGTGTCCAGTCCTATAACCACTGGACCTCCAGGCAGTTCCCTAACTCTGCTCTCTTGTCCCGGATTACCCCACCCCTGCCATGTGCCTGTTGCCTCCCTCACCTCCTGCCGATCTTGGGCAGACACCATGTGCTCAGTAACTGACTGATGAATGAATGAATGGATGAATGACCCAGTTAGCTGGCTCTCTCCCTGGCACCTCTTGAATCAAATCAGTGACCTCATCCTGACCTTGCTGATTCTCCCATAACCACCTCCTCCCTTCCACGTGCAGCCACAGCCCCCCTTCACAACCACCCCTGTGATCCCACACCCACCCTCCATCTGCCCTTCCACGACCGGCCACTGGCAGTGATCTTTCTAGGACCTTGCTCCACAACCATCTATGGCTCCCTAGTGCCTACAGGCTGAAAATCCAAGTCCTAAGACCAGCACCTCAGGTCCTTCCCCATTGTTCCTTGCTGATCCCGACTCCTACCCGCCTGCACACAGGGCTGCCCCGATATGCTAGCAGCACAGGGAAGGAGACAGGAGGGGCTGTTATATCTTTGTCTAGAAGGACGTTGGGTCTCAAGACCACAGGGTCCAACTAACCAAGGGCAAAGTTTTGAGTCACCAAAGAGTTTCTCTGGAGCATTGGTGTTTTACAAACAGGCCTTCAGGGTCTCTGGGAGAGAATGCCCCCCACCTCAGAGGTAATCGGAGTCATGGATCGTTCAGCTAACACTTACTGGCTCAGATAGAATTGCCTTCTGTGACTTGGGGATCATGGTCTGAGCTCAATTTTAAAGTGGATTCTCCACGAGAGGGGGCCTAGAGCTTCCATTCACATATGACCCCAACCCCAGGCCACCACCCCGACAGCAAGAGTGGATTTACGGGGACTTCCCTGGCAGTCCAGTGGTTAGGACTCCGCACTTCCACTGCCAGGGGCCCGGGTTCGATCCCTGGTCGGGGAACTAAGATCCCGCAAGCCACATGGTGTGGTCAAAAAAGTAAAATAAAATAAAACAATAAAGTAAAAAAAGTGAAAAAAAAGAATGAATTTACGAATCTGCACCCAGCCCTGTGCTTCCAGGAGCATCCTGGTGGCTCCAGATAATGTAAAAACTGGGGTGCACATACATATGGAAACACGGCGCGTGCCTCAGTTCCCCCAGCTGGCCATTCCAATTCTCTCCCATCCCAAAATGACAGAGAAAAAGAGAAACCGTTCAGGTTCAACTGCGTCTGGTTCTCCTGAGCGGTCGGTTTCCAAGAGGGAGAACTCAGCTCTCCTGGACCACATGTCAGCCTCGAGCTACATCGGCTGCTGACGTTTTTGCATAAACGAGTTCCTCATTGTTTATTATAAATTATGAGATTTAATTGCTAGCTTCATCAGTAACATGGTCAACACAGCAGCGGCTATGTTCCCGGCACTGCATCCAGGTTACCCTTGGTGTGGGCGCACGGCTGCCCTTTGGGCAGGACACCACCTCGTCCCGTTTGCGAGTCGCGAGGCTGGGAGGGGACACAGGGTTGATGGGACCGGGCTCTGTCTGTCCAGGCAGTGGCCTGAGCCCCCCACGCCAAGGCAGCCTACACCGCTCGCTGTCCTGTGCCTGGGTGCCCACCCGTCTCAGGATGTGGCTGTGAGGGGCAGTTATCTGCTCAAGGTCAAGCGGCCGCCTCCTGCCAGCCCCGCCCCTCTCCTCGCCAGGCTGGGCTTTCTGGGCCAGGAAGAGAGAGAAGCAGCAGCTTGGCTGAGAGGTTAATACTTGTTTAGACAGAAGTTGGGTCCTGAGCGGTGCACAGCCCAGCTTGGCTGGTGGACAACTTGGCGGCCGATGGATAAATATTAAACCAATACCTGGAGTAGGGCAGGGCGGCCTGGTCAGATTTCAAGCCACAGTTTGCTCGTCTGGCGAGGCTCTGGAAGTCTACCCAAACCCTCGTCCCTTTGCCTGCACCACCCCATCACTCCTGCCAGGCCTGTCTGCTCACAAACCCCCAGAGAGATGGGGACGTACAGATTCCACCAAGGGCAAGTGGCAAGGAGGCTGGAGAGGCGTGCTGGGAACTGCAAAGATGCGGGAACGTTTTGAAATAACCCAGTGGGTCTGGAATCCCTCTGCTTCTTCCCTGCTGCTCCACCCCCGCCTTCCCCTGGGCCCCTCGCAGCCCGCTGGTTTCATTATTCTAATTATTTCTGTCACAGACAATTACAGCCCCTTTCACCCAGAGGAGCTTGGCTGAAATGAAATTATCATCCCGTTTCCCGGGGCCACCTTGCTGGGGAGCTATGGATTCCCACGAGGGAGCGATACTTACTATCGTGCTCCGGGTTTTGCTGTCGAAAAAGGAATCCTTGTCAGACAGGTCAAATCTGTTGAAATTTTGGGAACAAAAAGAGACACAGCTCACTGGAGTCAGCGCTCCCGGTTTCCGAGGCCTTGGGGGACCACACTACCCCCGTGAGCGGTGACCATGAAATTGACGAAGCTCTGTCCGCACGCCGGGTGTGATCCGACCCTGGGCATTTGGAAGAGTCTGTACATCCTCTCACCCCTCGGGGAGGCTGGGAGACCCCCGTGGGTGGGAAGTGACCCCAGGGGCAACTGTGGTCAGACCTCCCTCGCCAAGGACCCCTTTTCCTTCCGATGACACCCTCGGGGGCAGATTTTAGTCTCAGCCGCCGCACTCCTGGGGTGATCCCACCATCGGACACTTTACTGTTTAAGGCAGCCTCCCTGTAATTTCCAAAGGGTTTCCGTCCTGAGGTCCTGGGCCACTCAGAGATTTCCTAAGGCTTCCTGAGGGCAGAGGGATGTCTCTGGAACACGTTATTCGATTCCCAACACACTCAGCGTACAGCCGGGGAGGGCGACTCGGGGTTGGGGGTGGCCCAGAGCCTGGAGGTGAGCCAAGCCTGGCAAGGCAGGGGGTGCCAAGGGAGGTGGCCAGGGCCCTGGGGGTCATGGAAAGAGGGCGTCTCCCTCTAATGCGCGGAGGCCCGGGTCCTGGCGCTGGTGGGAGGAGTTGGGCCGGAGCCACTTCCTTCTCTCTTATGTCTTATCCCCCGGAGGATCGGGAAACAGCAAGTGAAGCATGTGGCCCCGGCCCTGTGACTAATGCCCTGGCCAGGGCGGAAGCCCCAGTTCTGAGCGGAGGCTCTTCATGTCTTGTGGGACCAGGAGTGTCCAGGAGCCTCCCATCCCCTAGAGCTCGTCATCCTATCCCCACAGGATTCCCAGACTCCAAGCTTTCCATTCCCACCCCTGCCCTCGCTCCAGCTCTGCCCAGTGAGGCCCCACGGAGGCCTTGCAGCTGCCACTGACCCAGGTGGCTACGCCTCGCTGCCCCTCAGTAGCAGGGGAGGAGGGAAGTTTCCAGAATGGGTGCAGCCCTGCCAGGCAGCCGCGCTGGCTGCGAGTCTGGGGCCTCAGGACTCCAGCCAGGGCTGCTTCTCGGTTCCTGGCGCCCAGAGCTCGGCAGCCTTCAGGAGGTGCAGCTAACCAGACCCGACTCCTCGGGACACATCCCAAGAGGGACAGAGCGGGGCAGGGGGAGGGTACCCAGGCCACTGCTTTGGGGCTTTAATCCCAGGCCCAGGCCTTCCCTCACATGGGCTCAAGCTAGTTTTCCCAAGTGTCACCCAGCAGGACAAGACTTGTTGTCCCCTTAACTCCTCAGTTAATAATGACCTTGGAAATTATTTCCAGGGCCTCTTCTGTGCTCAAGAACCACAAGCTCTTATGAGAATATGCTCCAGGGGCTGAAATCCCCACTTCATTGGGGGTTGGAGAACTCCCTCTGGCCTCAGAGGACCAAGTCCAACACGGGGTGGAATCACCACACAGCGGGTGGCCCTCGGGAAGGGCAAGCAGGGGGGGGTCCCCACTCACAGGTGCTTCTTCTCCCGGGAGAAGGGATAGGAGAGCCTCTTTGTGGTCTGGGGTCTGTGCTCCGCCACCTTGGGCTGGATGGGGTCCGTCATCTTCTGGAGCACAGAGTTGATCTTTTTCAGGAGGCCACGGGTCTCATTAATGTGATACAGCTGCGGGCGAGGCAGGGAAGGGGGACGCATGTCATCTGCTGAGCCATGACTCTGGGAATCTATTCTGAGACGGGCAGGGAACTAGCCCCCTGCCACAGAGACGGCCCGGCCTGGGAACAGGGGGCGGGGATGGGCCACGATGCCCCCTCCACATCCGCGTTTCTAGATGAGCCTGAAAGCTCAGAGTTTCGGGAGATCCCAGCCAAAAGGGCAATTCTAGTACATTCCAGAGAACTTCCCCCAACTTCACTTTTGTTTAAAAAGAGGTAATCCAAAGGATTCTGGAGGCTTTGAGAAGCTGGGAGCTGACTCACTCCCGAGAACAGCTTCGTCCCCCCTGCTTTCCTCCCCAAGGACAAAAGTAAACCCCGACGCCTCGCTAAGCTCCTTGGACGCACTGGCAGACTGCTTCCCAGCCTGAAGTTGCCAGAGATTAAGAAGAAAAGCCCCAGCAAGCGAGGAAATGGAATTAAAATGAGTCTGATAAATTAGCTGAAATACTGGAAGTACGAACGGTCAGAGCGGGAAGTTTCACTGTGTTTGTATCTATGAGAAGTTCCCGGGCTCCTGTGGCATCTCTGGGGGAGCGGGTTATACTCTCCGCCCGCAGGACACGGGAGGCCTCCTGCCCTCCCGGGGCGGGGTGGGGCTGAAGCTCCCTTGGGCTTTCGTAACAACTCAGACCCTCCCGATGACGTTCTCCTGCCGGGCAGCCCTGAAACGACCCCTGTGGAGTAGGGACGTCACCACTCACCTTCTTCGTCGGCATCTTCAGTTTCAAAAACTCAGCCTCTCTGCACAGCACGTTCCAGGGTGCATGGATTTTTACAAATCCAACCCCGTGAATTTTCGTCTAGAAAGAGGGGAGAGGTCCTTGGTCAGCGTGGGTAGATGTTTGGGGCTGAAAACCATTTTCACCTTCGGGGACCAAACAGTTTACTGGGCAGCTGCTTCTGCCTGTCACCTCATGGCTCCTCTGACGACACTTTGAGGCACTGCTAGAATCCCCTCCTTCCAGATGATAGAAGAAAGCTGCGGGGCTGAGAGGGCTCCCCCAGGTCCCACGGGAATGATAAACAGCCGGGAGGGTGCCTGGAGGGAGGTCCCCGATACCACAACACCTGGGAAGTTCTCAGAGGGGTAGCCGAGGGGCCTCAGAGCAGCCTGAGCCACAGAAGACCTTGCATAACTGAGAGCCCAGGCCCTTCGACTGAGTGGACGTACTTGGTGTCCCCGGGGTGCCCAAGCAGAGATGAGGAGGTGATGGTGAAGATGATCCCCTCTGGACATCTCTGTGGGGTCAGGACACACCTCTGTCTGGACCCGGCCACCCTCTGGGTTCCCTGGGTCAGCACTGCCTTTATCCTAATGTGAGAGGACTCGAGGCAACCCTGCATTCGAGTCCAGCCCCCCGCCCCCACTAAGCTGCTGTGAACTTGGACAAGTCATTTCTGGTCCAGCGTGTCTGAATGACAGGACTGGGCAGCTGAGGGCCCCTGAGTGCTGCCCTACCAGGAACTGCACAAGCTAAGAGCTTCGAGAACTGACTCCAACGAACTCTATGGGAAAGGCAGGACCACTGCCCCCCTTTCACGGAGGGGAACACTGAGGCTTGAGAGATTAAGTCACCGCCTAGGTTCCTCAGAAAATTAAAACTAGAGCCACCAAATGATCCAGGCATCCCAGCTCTGGGTAGTTATCCCCAGGAAATGACATCAGCACGTTCACACCAGCACCCCCACGTTCACTCAGCATTACTCACGACAGCCAAGATACAGAAACAACCTAAGCGTCCTTGGACGGATGAATAGATCAAGAGAGTGTAGACATATACAGTGCAGTATTATTCACCCATCAAAAAGAAGGAAATCCTGTCATTTGTGACAACGTGGATGAACCTGGAGGACATTCTGCTACGTGAAATGGGTCAGAGAGACAAGCAGTGCATGGTATCACTTATATGTAGAATTAAAAAAATGCTGATTTCATAGAAACGGTGTAGAGTAGAATGGTGTTTGCCAGGGGCTGGGTGGGGGGATGAGAATGGGGAGATAGGTCGGAGGGTACCAGCTTTCAGTTATAAGATTAAGTTTTGAGGACCTAATGAAGAGCAGGGTGACTCTAGTTACTAATACGGTATCGTATACTTGAAAGGTGTTGAGAGATCAAAGTGTTCTCAGAGCGTGCACGCGCGTGCGCACACACACACACACAGAGGTAGCTGTGTGAGGTGATGGGCGACTTCATTACCTTGATCTGGGCAACCATTCCACGGTGTCTGTGTAAATCAAGTCATCACTCACAGTGTAGACTTTAAATATACACAATTATGTTTGTCAATTACTCCTCAATAAAGTTGGGGGTGGAAAGTCAGGGCCTGGCATCTGGCAGCTGGCGGGTGTGGGAACCCGGGTTCCCATGCGGGCCATACACACTCTTAATCGTGGGTGAGACCACGCACATCCCAACAACTCTCTAGGTTTCTGGTTTTCTCTGTCCCCCTTACCTTTCGTGTTTAAGAGATTCCCTTTACTGAGCGAATAGCATCAATGTGGCGATAACACGTTTCCCCACCTAAGACGCAGGTAACACCAGCAGACTTCCCAATCACCCCGAGATAACTGGGGTTCCCCATTGCAACAAAAAGCAAAGAAACACAACATTCCCCTCAGACAGAGCCGCCCTACGGCAGTGGGGTCCTCAGTCCACCAGCCGTCTCAAGGGGACCCCCGGGGGCTTGGAGCCCACGCTGGGCCCCCAGGTTGAGGTCCCACTTCACCTTTCCACAATTCCAGGGGTCCTGGCAGAAGGGAGCCAGGCCACGGCAGGGGGGGTGTGTGGCCGGCACTCGGGACTTGGTATGGGGCTGACTCGGGTCTGCGCTGGGCTCTGAGCCCCAGGTCCCGTCACCAGCCTCAGAGTGTACACAGCTCATGGGATCACTGCAGGTTTTTGGCAAAAGGCAACGGAGTCAAAGTCACTTGGGACTGATTTTTAGGAAAAAATCCTCCGTGGTCCAAACACACTCATCCAGCGCCAGCCTCGGGCCCCAGTGAGACGTGGGGCTCCTGCCTCACCTCGAGAGAAGGGCCACACCTGCTGGGAGAACTCCAGCTCATCTCTCCACCTCTGATGCAGAGGCGCCCATGCCCCCCACAACCAGAAGAGCGAGCATCTCCCCGGGGCCTCAGTGTCACCGCACAGGCCTTGTCTATGTGGCCCCAGCAGGCAGGCGAGTCCTGTCCGGAGCCTCCCAGCTCACTGGCCCTGCTGCCCACGTCGGGGCAGTGTAGATGCTGCACGTGTCCACTGAACGAGCGGATGAAGTCCCCTAACGATGATGACGGGGTGTGGGGAGAGTAGGCTGGGACCCACCGGGCGCTCACTACGTGCCAGGCCCTGCTTCAGGCATCTGTGCGTATTATTTAACCCCACGACAGGCCCGTGAGGGTGATCCTGCCACTGTCCTCACCTTGGAGCCCAGAGGTTCACACTCTGCAAGTTCACTGTGAGTGTCCAGGGCAGGCTGCAGCCAATGGCCACAGACTGAGCAGCTTTAACAACACAAATTCATTCCCTTCCAGTTCTGGAGCCAGAAGTCTGTGATCAAGGTGTGGGCAGGGCCGCGCTCTCTCCACAGGATCCAGGGGAGGGGGCCTCTCGCCTTGCCCAGCCGCCGGGGACCCCAGGCCTTCCTGGGCTTGTGGCCATATCACCCCAACCTCTGTGCCCATCTGCACAAGCCTTCTCCCCTGTGTGGCTCTGTGTTTCAAGTCTCCCTCTCTTTTCTCTTCCAAAGACACCTGTCATTGGATTTAGTGTCCACACGAATCCAGGATGATCTGGTGCAGGATCAGTAACTTACTTACATCTGCCAAGACCCTTCTTCCAAATAAGGTCACATTTGCAGATTCCAGGAGGATGGCTTTTGGAGCTGCCACTTGGCCCACGATACTCACCATGAAGCAGCAGGTCAGAGCCCCACAGGGCTTGGTGCAGGGAGCTTATCAAAGTGGCTGGAAGCTTCGAAGAAGCAGGTCCAGGAGCTGGGTCCTGAGGCTGCTTCCAGGACCAGGGTGCTCGGGCACAGGGACCAGATGCGCAAGGCTCGAGGTGTGCTGGCTGGCGTGAGGCACACCTGCAGGGAGCCTGGAGCCTGACACCACGGCCCAGGGCTGGGGACTCAGCGGCGCGTGGACTAGTGTGGACCAGAGGAGGCAGCCCGGGGGCTCGGGCAAGGGGAACCCAGATCTTCCTGCTGCCCTCAAGGGGCAGGTCGGGTGGGCACCGGGGGCGGCCATGGATTGGGTGGCCTGGGTCCGAGTCCTGGCGGGCTGCTGTGTTGTCTCCAGCAAGTGACTCAACCTCTCTGAACCCCCTTTTGCTCATCTGCAAATCTTTGCAGTTCAAGACTTGCTTCACGGCTGGGGGAGTCCCTGATGCTCCTAACACTTCCATCCAGCCCCGTGGCTGGGGCTATGGCTTCTCTCCGTGACCCTGAGGCTGGTGAGACCACGCCTGCGTGGACTCCTTTGGCTAAGAAGCTTGAAGCCGCCTCCCCAGCTCCAGGAAGCCCCGGGGGCACCATGAAATGACCGAGAAGTGACCATGGACGGCCCCGTGAGGCAGACCCCCTCTTTCCCATTACAGCCCAAGTTTATTTCTGTGCCCAGTGTTCAGTCGCATGCAAAGACCCAAAATATATTCTTCCGAGTCCGTGGCGAGCTCTCTCGATGGTGGTCAAGGACCAGTGCCCGGGCTGGCCTCCCTGGGAAAACACGCTCTGCTGTTTACGTGAGCAGTGGGGTCCCTCCCAGGGAAATATCTGGCAGGATTGGGGAAAGGGGTCGTGGGACCAGTTGGACAAGAACACATACAGGATGTTTTAAACCTTGGTGCCCGGCCCGACAGCAACCCGCCCCTGCAGGAAGAAATCGTGAGATGCCGGGTCCCCTCCCTGAGCCAGATGCCCCAGAGCCGTGGGTTCTGTCCTGACTCTGGTCCCTCTGGTGTGGGGAGGTTGGAGGCCACAGAACTGCCGGGGCCGCGCACCACGGCGTGGGTGTGGGGAGGGCCAGGGGTCAGGGTCCCGCAATGGCCTGCCACCAAATGCTGGACAAAATAAATAAATAAAATAAATGTCACGTCTTAAAGTTGCTGAAGACCTGAGAAGACCCAGAGAAGCAACCAAGACCATGCCATCCAAGGGGTTTCTACCGATGCAGACACTTGGCCTGGAGGGGGGAGGGAGGTTTCTGCCCCAGGCCCGCCCAAGATGGGAAGTCTAACAGAAGACCCTCCCCCATGGAGCCGGACCCCCATGAGATGACACTTTCAGGTGACCCAGAAAGGGCTCCCTCCTCCAACCCTGGGAATTACAAGGAAGGCAGTCCTGGCGCTGAGCAGGAAAGGGAGGGAATGAGGACCTCCCCAAGAAGTCCTGGTCCGAAAGGCCACGGCCCCAGTGGGTCTGGGAACCTCAGCCTGTGACCTTGGCTCAAGGTGGTTCTGTCTATAATGCCCTCAGATGTGACGAATGCAAGCCTTTCTGGACAAGGGCATCTTCCTCCTGGGCTTGGGGAACTCCCCCCCGCCCCGATCATGGGCTCCATAAGGGTGGTGGTCAGTGGGCAAGGGCACCAGGCCCACCAGGAACAAAGACGGCTGGAGGAGAACCAGCAGAAGTGACGTCCTCAGCCTCGGGATTCTGCGAGGATTAGATGGATAATAAATCAACTGTGCTCACCTTGTTTAAAGAAATAAACCTCAGGACAGAAAGGTTCTGCAAAGGACAGGAAACTATTAAAAAATGACACAGCCAACTTGGAAAAGAACCAAACAGAACTTGCAGAA